CAAGAATAGCAATGATTAGCTATGCATTTTTTCTCCAGTGACAGCATAACTTTATTTATTTATTTATTTATTTATTTATTTATTTGAGTATTGGGATTGAACAGTGTTTAGTTTACAAAATTTTAGTTTTAAAAGAAGTTTCTAGGTTAAAGTGAGATATGTTAAAGTGAGGTATGTTTAAAAGTACAATGTTAAAATGGATGCCTTTGTAAAAAATGAAAAATTATCATGAACCAAGTATTTGTAAACCAAGGAATAAGCCCAGACAGCACTTATATAGGGAGAAGGGGGCATAACTTTTGGAAGAGTGTGTGTAATAAATGAACAGTACTAGAGACCTAGTAGAGTACTAAAATATGCCAACAAGCAGAAGTTGAATAGAGAAGTGGAAACCAGCAAAAGAGACTTCAAAGGAGTTGCCTGTTGGGGAGTTTCTATTAAGGGTAAATCTTAGCACTGGCTATAGTGAGTAATAAACAAGACAATGATGTTTGACACTGCAATGAAAATTTTAGTCGTGAAATAAATTAGGAGAGCTAGCTGAACTCTAAATTAAAAAACAGCCAGGTGCTGGTATGGAAGTTGACACAAGAGGATCACTGTAAGTTCAAGACCAGCCTACACAGTGAATTCAAGGCCAGCCTGGACTGCATCGGGACTCTCTCAAAAAAAAAAAAAAGAAAGCAAATACCTAAGCTAAAAAACAAAGGCTAGGAATGGTGGCACACATCTGTAATCCCAGCCTGGATGATATACTAAATTCAGAGCCTCAAAGCTAGCCTGAACTATTTAGCAAGACCTTGTCTAAAATTAATAATAATAATAATAATAATAATAATAATAATAATGTGTTTAAATTATCAAAATGTCTATATAATAACCACTGCTACTTGTTTTATTAATTTCTTGGGGAACAAAATCAGTTGACCACTAGTTAAGCAGGTTCTAAATATAATCCATTATTAAATTTACTGATACGAGGGCCAGTGAGATAGTTTAGCAGACTAAATGCCTGCTTAGGCAAGCATAAAGATCAAGTTTCAATCCCCAGCGCTGGTCCCACTCGCAGGCGTGCTGAACCCGCCACCAAGACCAGCTGTGGTGGCACATGGCTGTAATTCCAGCATTGGAGAGACTGAAAACAGGAGGCTCACTACAAATCTGAGCTGCATAGTAAGACCCTATACCAAATACATAAAAAATGGATACTTTCTTGTTATTAAAGAGGAATACATTCCTTCTTGCTTTGCTACTTTCTGCCACCTACGAACTGTTTCTCCTCTATAATGTCTCTTCCTTGGAGCCAGCACATTAGGGACTAAAATTCTATAAACTGTGAGCTTATTAAATAAACCTTTTCCTTCTAAGTTGGGTATCAGATATTCTGCCTCAGCCACCAGAGAAAAGTAACTAAGACATGCACCTACGTGACTTTACCTGAGTCCTTAAGCAGAATGTAAGTGGTTATAACTTCCTCATATGATATATCAGCTTATTACAAGAAATTTAAGGCAATAAACTGGGCTCCATTGGGCCTGGAAGTGGTTGGAACTCAGACTTGGGTGAAAACCTAGGATGCCTTTGATTGGTTACCTGCCCCCACAACATTTGATACTTCTCTTTCAACATATTTACAAGCTCACATTTACATATGTGTAGGAGATTTCTCTTTCTCCACACATGACATAAGATCCACAAAAACTGAGTAGTTTCTATTTTTCCCACCAATACAGTCTAGCATCCAGTTCAGTCGGTGCCTGGAATGTAGTGCAAGTGTAAAGCACTTTTATAGGAAAAGATAAATACACAATATTAAGAAGTGGATCCACAGTAGTCATTATCTTTTATGTAATCAAATTCCACTAAAGGTATTTTTGAACAACTAATTGGTAACATTTCAAACACATCCACTCTCGTTACCTTTTATTTTCAGAGGTTTGTTTCAGATCAATCAGATTTTTCTCTAACAGCAGTGGGATAAAGTCCTTTTGCTATTCTATCAAGAACATTCTATTAAATGTTCTGTTTTATAATTTCGCTTATTAGAGTCCACCTAAAAATTTTTAACACCAGACAAACACAAATCAAAATAAAAACTTCCATGGCAGGACCGCAGAGGAGATAGCTCAGTGGTCTAAGCACCTGCCCAGACAAGCACAAGGACCTGGGTTCAATTCCTGATATCAAATGTGCTGGCCCCACCCCGGGCACAATAAGCCAGCCAAAATCCGGTATGGTGGCACACACCTGTAATCCCTGTGCTGGGGAAGCTAAAACAAGAGGATCATGCAAGTCTGAGCTGCATAGTGAGACCCTGTACCAAATACATTAAAAAAAAAAAAAAAAAAAAAAAAACTTCTAGGGCTGCAAATCCCTCGACCTGTTACTCTCTTACTGAAGCACTTTCTTTTGAGACCAGGATCTTGCTAGGCAGTTTCCTGGGCCAAATTTAATTTATCCCCTTGTGAGACCCTTGAATGGAAAACGGGATCATCTCATGCCATGGCAAGGCGAAGTCAATGGTTTTCAAATGTGAGCACCTATCAGAACTGCCCGGAAAACCTGTTGAATAGAATGCATGTGCTTTGCCAACTCCAAGTTTGAGCCACTGGTCTAGTGTGGGGGTCCTGAGAACTTGTGTAACTAAGAAGTTCCAGGTAAAGCCAACCTTGCTGGTGTACATACGGCCAGCAGTGCTCAGTAAAATGCCTGGATCTAAGCTCCAGCCCTCTGAATTTGTTCACTAGCCTACTGCCAAGAGCAGAGCAAAAGCCCATAGAAATGCGAAGTTGAATTATTCACAATTCTCCCAGAGTGGGACCGGCTGCTTGCTCACCCCCTCAGAAAGCACAGAAGAGATCCCAGTATTCTACTAGGGTAGAACAAAAGCCAGGAAATATCCCTATTAGATTTAATCAAGCTTTGGCCAGCAGGGCTTGAAAGTGCTGCATCCTCCTTGGCTTTAGGACTGGGAGGAGGGGGATGGCAGTTTGTGTGTGTGCTCAGCATGAAGAGGTTGAGGAAGAAACTTATCCCTCCCGCCCAAAAGAAAAGAAGTCCTAATTTTTGAAGATCTGTCCTAACCTCTCAATCTTCTAATGACCACAATTTGAAAACTATTAGTGTAACCAATACAGCAAAAATGAACTTTCAAATAT